CCCCTTTGTTTACATGGAGCTGTGTGACAAGGATTGCCCGGCCCGGGCGAAAGTACCAATGGTACTTCCTCGTTCGGAAGAGCTCAGGTGCAGGGCAAACCCGTTCCAAACCTACTGAAGTCCATATAGAGGGTACGGGAAATAAAATAAAGCAATATCCAAAATTTTAGCGCCGTCTCCAGAGTAATAGGTGAGTAAGTAACCCTTTGCTTATGGCAAGATGCGAATGGGGAATTCCCCACACTGCAGCTGATTGGGCAACACAGAAGGAGCTTCCGTCTATGTTCAGGAGGGGCTCCTTCTGGGTCCAGAGGCGCTCAGGCTCCCACTGGGTTCAGTCTGAACCTGAGCTCATCTCTAGTGACCAGACCAAATATACAGGCGTGATCACTTTCCATTTCACTATATTGCACACCACACTTTCTTTTTTACTTCCACCGCTCCAAGCTTGCTCCTGTGATGGACTACAACCTCAATACAAACTAGTAGTCCTATCACTGGAGCCATTTTTTAAACTTTATTTTATAGTTTATCCGATTAACCGATTAATCGAACTTAATAATCGGCTAACTAATCGATTTTGAAAATAATCGTTAGCTGCAGCTCTAGACTATATCACGTTTTTTTATTATATTTTTATTCTTATGATTGATACTTTCAGCTAAATCTCCTAACCTAACATGACCCCTAAACTAAGTCTCTATGGTAAAATCCTGTGCCAGGAACATCCAATTCAAATGCTACAAATGTCCTGCTACCTTGTAAAACATCTTTTATATGGCAAACTTTATATTATTCATTAATTCATTGCAGACTGAACCCTCCTAACCAGCTTGTTTCATATACAGGCTCGAGTATACAGAGGAGCAAATGGATTTCAAAGAACATAGGGATCTGTAGAAGGACATCATGATGGAGAACCGGCCGCCCCTCACATTACCGGGTAAGAGGAGACTTTCATTTCTTGAGTATTGGGGATACACCTAGATACACACATCCTCTGATATAAAGACATAGAAACAATGTATTCAGTCAGTGTGTGTGTTTCCTACAGATGGATCCAGGAACAGAAATACCCCAGAGAGATGTCCCCGTCCTCTGTATTCCCGGGATTCCACACAGGAATGTCAGGAGATCCCTCAGGGACATCAGGAGATCCCTCAGGAACATCAGGAGATCCCTCAGGAACATCAGGAGATCCCTCAAGCCTGTCTTCTGTACTCCCATGATTCCACACAGGAACATCACGAGATCCCTCAGGAACATCATGAGATCCCTCAAGCCTGTCCTCTGCACTCCCGTGATTCCACACAGGAACATCAGGAGATCCCTCAGGAACATTATGAGATCCCTCGGGTTGATCAGGTAGATGGGACTGAGGATCTTAAATAAAACTGGTATACTGTCTGAAGATCAGATGCTGTTAAAACATGTTTTATTGCGTTTTATCTAGAGAGGAAAAAACCTGATTATCATTAAAGTTAAACAAGAAGAGCCATATGTGAGGGGTGATGAGTTGTGTAAGGAGGAGGAAGTCCCTCCTGAGATCAGCACAGGTGAGTAATAAACACTAAATCCAGAAAAGAGTCCCAGATTCTCCTTGTTCAGTCACTACAACAATCTCTTCTTCTCCCCCCTCCTCTGTCAGTAGACAGTAATGGGGGGACGGAATGTGTTTAGTGGGGGGAGTCAGGAGCCATCAGCCTCTATTAGACTCCGCCTCTCCTCCTTGCATCATGTCATTGTGTGTTACCAGCCAAGAGACCTGTCCAGTCTCCCCCCACACACACTCTCTGGGGTCTCTCATACATCTCAGGACAGGGGGCTTCACTCTCATCTCTATTCACAGATTCCGGACACACCAGACACATGCAGAGAGACATCAAAGCTGAGGAGGAAGAAGAAGGACGTGTAAGGATTAAAGAGGAGGAAGTCCCTATAGAGATCAGCACAGGTGAGGACTAAACATTTGGCATATGGTTCTTGTTCAATGGAGACATTTATGTGTATTTGCATTTGTCCTGCTGTGTCACCTTGCGGAATAAAGTTGGAAAGTACTAGCAAAGAGTACAGTCCTGTATATGTGTACGAGATGCAAGTCCCTGACTGGGATGTTTCAGGATACATATACAATGATAACGTTATATTATCTAATGGCCGGAAATGACTTCTTTGAAGGGCCGTAGGGAAAAGCAACAGGTGCATTTTGACGCCCCTTCCCCATAAGCACATACCTTTCCTATATAGTATATAGAAGGACATCATGATGGAGAACCGGCCGCCCATCACATCCCCGGGTAAGAGGAGACTTTCATTTCTTGTAAAAGAGAGAAGAGTATTGAGGATCCCCCTAGATACACACATCCTCTGATATAAAGATATAGAAACAATGTATTCAGTCAGTGTGTGTGTTTCCAGCCACTCCATTCAGTGAGGTTGAGCAGAGTCATGTACAGAGCTCCCTCTAGTGGCTAATCTACAAATCTCTAAATTGAATAGAATAACACAAATATGGAAAAACAAGCATCTAAAGATGTGACAGCCCTATAAACATGAAATGTAATAATGATATCACATGTACATGTATTTTCTACAGATGGATCCAGTAACAGAAAGGCACCTGAGATATGCTCCCGATTACTTGATTGCCCAGATTCCACACAGGAATATCGCAAAATGTCTCAGGATTACCTTGTAAGTAGCGGGGGTTGGGGGTGATGAAATCATTTGGTGGTGGTTATTCTGAATTGGTCCATGTTTTGCATACATTGCCAGTAAGTTTATTACTGTGATTGTGCCCATTTCTTTATATTGAACAGTGAATATTTTAGACCTGGTCGCGTTTTAACTGCAGTCAGCAAAATTTGATTGTCCAAATCAAACCGTCTCGACCAATAGCAGTTCTGCGCTATCTTTGCTTGAGCCCATGTCAGAGATTTAAGGTGGATCCTCTGTGTTAGAAGCTGTTGGCAAAAGGCTTTCACGGAGGTGCAGGCTCTAGAAGCGTCTGTCTAATGATGAGGATAGAAGTTTGGTGCGGACCGCGCTCAGAGTGCAGCTCCAGATTGTTAGTGGATTGTGTGGCAACGCGCATTAGGCCAGGACTAGCGGAACAGAACCCAAAATCTAGTCCACATTATAACTAAAGGCATCCTGAATCAGCAGATGCCAAGGCATGAGTTGAGTTCTGATACAAATACATTGGCTCAGGCACTGAGTTGGCGCCGGATGTGGGGCTACGCCGCAGTGCTGAAATTCTGTCATTAGGTGGTGAGGGTACTTCTAAACACAGCGAGGGGAATTTATCACAACCTGGAACAGTAGCCCAGGGCAACCAATCAGCTTATTCAGTTAACATTTAGGACCCATTCACACCACATCCAGATCATCTCCAGACCAGACCAGATGGTTTCCAGACCCAAAATGCACCCTAATGTATCCCTATGCTATTTCTGGCCTCTGTTCACACCAGTGCAGACCGCTCTAGACCAGACCAGAAAAATACTGCATGTCTCATTTTGTCTTGTCTGGAATGCACTGGAACTGCGGGCAGGCTCACACCAGTTTCCGGACTAGATCTGGTCCGGAAACTGGTGTGAAACTGTCCTCAAAACATGAAAGAGAGAAGCTGATTGGTTGCCATGCACAGCTGTTCCAGTTTTGATAAATTCCCCCCATGTTTGAGCAGTTCAGGGATAAGATGTGAACTGGGGAAGACAGAGAGCTAGTCTTCTTTGGACTGCAAGGGATGTGTAGCCACTGGCAAATGGTTTAACCTGCCTTTATAACCCCCCCTTAGTAACTCAGTACTATGCAAGCAAAATGCATCTAATAATGGTCTAGCACACTAAGCTGCTTCGCCCTAAGCTGCCAGCTTACATCCAGTGTATCAGATACAGAAAAGTGCCCTCTGTCAATCTTTGAGTGATCGGCAGTAGCCAGGTATACAATTACCAGGATGATAGATACTCATATACAGATTATAGGGATACATAACCACTGTACAGCAGCTTTAAGATCTTATGCACGGTTCCATAAGTGTGTATGTCCGACTGCGGTGTTCAAGATCCTATTGGGGTTGAGCGTCTGAACCCGATCTTATGTGCACAGATTAGGACTGATCGTGTGTTTATCTCATTGTGTTTAATTCACTGTTTGTATTGATTTGTGGTTGTCAGGTTAAACATTTCAATAAAGAAGAAGCTGACGATCCATATGTGGGGGATGATGAGCCGTGTAAGAAGGAGATCAGCACAGGTGAGGAATAGACACTAAATCCAGAAAAGAGTCCCAGATTCTCCTTGTTTAGTCACTACAACAATCTCTTCTTCTCCCCCCTCCTCTGTCAGTAGACAGTAATGGGGGACGGAATGTTTCTAGTGGGGGGAGTCAGGAGCCATCAGCTTTTATTAGACTCCGGCTCTCCTCCTCACATCATGCCATTGTGTGTTACCAGCCAAGAGACGTGACCAGTCAAGTCCCCCCACACACACACTCTCTGGGGTCTCTCATACATCTCAGGACAGGGGGCTTCACTCTCTGGGGTCCCTCATAGTCAAGAGCCACCAGCCAATTTCAGCCTCAGTGGCAGCCTGGGTAACCTCGTGTTTATCATGGATAGCTGTCTGTTCTCTGAGCTCCAGACTAAAATGAGGGCACAGTTTTATATTCTTTGACCAGTTTTTGGTATTGGAGACTAACAATTCGATTCCGATTCTACCTCTGTTGTTTCTACCAGATGGGCGATACAGAAGCTACAGTTCAGAGGAAGATCCTATGACTTCTCCAAGTGCAGAGATGGAAGACATCACCTTCACCTCTGATTCTTCAGAAGAAAGCCCCACCACCCCAAAACTCAACACAGTGATTCACGCTACAGATCTGTCCCCCGATCCCTCTATTCATGGCGGGACTTTTTGTGATCACCCCCTTCCTCCCGCCACCCATCAGATAGCACCCAGAAGGTGTAAAGTATTCTCGTGTTCCGAATGTGGGAGAAGCTTCTCAGAGAAAGCAAAGCTCACCAAGCATCAGAAAACTCACAAAGCAGACAAGCCATATTCGTGCTCGGAGTGCGGGAAAGCTTTCATTCAAAAATGTCTTCTCCGGAGACACGAAGCAAGGCACGGCAACGATAAGCCCTTTTCCTGTACCGAATGCGGGAAATGTTTTGTGCAGAAATCAGAATTTGTCCGGCACGAGAGGACGCATACGGGCGAGAAGCCATTTTCATGTTCTGAATGCGGGAAAAGTTTTTCCCGGAAGCATACCCTCATCACCCACGAGAAAGTTCACACGGGGGAGAAACCCTTTTCATGTTCGGATTGCGGGAAGAGCTTCAGCGAGAAATCAAACCTCGTGCTCCACAAGCGGACTCACACGGACGAGAAACCGTTTTCCTGTTCCGAATGTGGCAAATGCTTCACCCAGAGGGGAAATCTGATTTCACACCAGCGATCCCACACGGGAGAGAAGCCGTTTGCGTGCGACGAATGCGGCAAATTCTTTACTTGGAAGAAACAGCTGATCACGCATCAGAGGAGCCACACGGGGGAGAAGCCTTATTCCTGCTCGGAATGTAAAAAGTGTTTTACAGAAAAATCGAACCTCGCCATCCACCAGAGAATTCATCGGGCCGAGAAGCCGTTCTCATGCACGGAATGTGGAAGCCGCTTTAGCGACAGAACCAAACTCGCCAACCATCAGAGGACTCACACGGGGGAAAAGCCGTTTTCTTGCGTCAAATGCGGCAGGTGTTTCTCCCAGAAGACATCGCTTATTAGGCACGAGAAGGTCCACACGGGCGAGAAGCCGTATTCTTGTTCGGAATGCGAGAAGTGTTTTACCGACAGATCGCACCTTGTCATGCATCACAGAGTCCATACCGGCGACCGCCCCTATTCGTGCTCCCAGTGTGGGAGGGCCTTCACGCAGAAATCAGATCTGGTCAGGCACGAGAAAGTCCACACCGGTGATCGTCCGTATGCCTGCTCTGAATGTGGGAAGTGTTTTACCAACAGGACTTATCTCGTCACACATCACAGAGTCCATACGGGGGATCGGCCATATTCCTGCCATGAGTGCGGGAGAGGCTTTATGCAGAAATCAGATCTGGTTAGGCACGAGAAGGTTCACAGTGGCAGACGTCCGTATTCATGCTCAGAATGTGGGAAACGGTTTTTACATCAGCTATCCCTTGTGTCACATCCCAGTTCCCATGGGAGGCAAGATGTTCCCTTCTCAGGGTGTGGCAGCTGAAATAAAGCTTCACCCCACTCCCTGTTTTCTGTCATCTGGTGTTTTTGGAACAAGCCTGCTGGGTATCATGGAATATGGCTACTAGTGATCCTGGAACACACCTGCTGGGGATGCTAGAACATATCTCCTTGTGATCCTGGGACATACATGTTGTTCATTTTGGAACATACCAGCTGGTGATCCTAGAACATAAGTTCTGTTTATCCTGGGACACACATGTTGGTGATTCTGGAACACCCTAGCTTGTCATACTGAAACACACCTGCTGGTGATCCTGGAACACGCTTGTCATACTGAAACACACCTGTTGGTGACCCTGGAACACACTTTTTGTTCTTCCACAACCAACTGAAATAAAAAAACAAATAAAACTCCTGTTTTTATCCTGAAATTAAAGGCATGTTAATATAAAACTAATTGCCTTCAATGTTTTCACAAATTAAAAACTTGTGACTGACTCCTCTTTGTCTTCCTCCATATTCTCTAACCTAAGCAGCTTGTCCACACCTATAACATCATGCCCCACCCCTGAGGAACCAGACAAACCTTTTCCTAGCCTCACGCCACCCCCCCC